TACGTTATGAATTTGCATAGTGAAATAAATTAAAGTTTATTTTATGAATAGTAAAAAAAATCATCTTTTATTTGTTTTAATAATTTTATTACAAAGTTTTATTGCTTCAAAGAGCGCTCTCATTAATGGCTAACTCTTACCTTCCCATCTATACTTATCATTATTCTTCAATAAATACGATCCGTATAATTAAAATTTTTTTTATAATTTAAACAATTTTTTAAGAAATTCTGATAAGAAATTTCAGTTCATCTTGCTAAAATTATATTTATAAACACTGCTTTCATGGCTTTAATTACTTAAACCTCTTATAAGTTATTAATGAGTAGTAAATATTATTCGTTAATTTATTTATCTTAAAACATCTACGAGTCGTAAATTACTACGTTATTATTATTATTATTATTATTTTAATATAAATTACAGCTTGGTTTTAAATTATTTTACCGAATATTTCTAAAAACTTTATTAAAATAAATATTTTGTTGATCTTTAACATTTAATATTTATTTTCTTATGATCGATCTGATTATTTTATATAAAAAGAAGTTATTATTTTATTCTATTTAATAAAAGAAATGAAAGGTTTTTTTAAATATTTTGACAATTTATTTCTTTATTTAATTACGTTGAGCGATTTAAATAACATTATAAATATTTATGTAAAGAATATAATTACATCTTAATGAATTCATTAAATACATTTTTAAACTATAATTATTCTGTCGAATATCTAATATAGATTTAGCATTACTTCCTTTTATGATTCGATATCCTTGAATGCTTGAAAATGAATATTTGTTTAGATAAGCAATCAACCAAAGCAAACAATTAAAACCTCGTTTATCTAAACGACATTCGAATCAGTGAAGTAAACAAGGCAACGACCAATCTTTTCTATCGACTTAAATAAAAATAATAATAATTAATTAATAATAATAATTCCGATTTAAAAAAATAAAAATAATTTTTTTTAATATATCAAACTGTAATTCTACAGCTTGATATATTATATACACTGTTGTACCACACAAGAAATTTGTGTGGAGAGAATCTAATAACTTTCTAAATGAAATTATTATCACTTATACAGTCTCTGAACAACGACTATTGATGGAAACATTTTTAAAAAAATGGTCGTTGGGACCGTCCATTAATTACGTATAGCGTTTTTGAGCTATTTTTGATCCCCTCCTTCCTATTATGCACAATGACGTACTTTTGGCGAACCTCTCCCCTTTAATTACATATACAATAATCCATGACATTCAACTGACGTTTACTTACACGACAAGTAAATAGGCTTGTAAGAACAAATTTGTATGCTCCTAATACCACTAAAAAAGTCCACATAGACAATGTCTGGACTCCTCTCATTGTGTACAATAATGTACTTTTTGAGACCCCCTTTCCCTTAAACTGTACACATAATTAATGGATGGTACTTCTGAACAATAGCCTTAATTTATATATGAAAACCTTATTATTTAGGCTACAACGTATATCAAATTCTTCGAAATGAAAAGTTTACGTTTATACTCTTAATTTATTATAATAATTATTATGTATTTATATCAATATTTACTCCTAATTAATTANTTATGTGTAAATTAACATCTAATATTACATAAAAATGAAAATGATTAAATAAAAATAATGAAATGTTATCATGGCATCTTATTTATATCTTAGTACATTCGATACTGATGCAAATAATATATTGTAACTCGTATTTTTCCGTAACTTATTAATTCGTTAATTTATAATCAAATCTGACAGAGTTCAGTTTCCGATATAGAAATACCTAAAGCGGTCATGGAAGATGTCAATCCACTAATAATATTTCCCTTCTTCCTTTTTCCCTCACATTTACCAGCTTCTATCATTTGTTTTTCTGTTAGAACTTCGTCCCACATATTTATGTCTGCTATATCACCAATCCACGCTTGATCAGCTTCGTATTTACCATCAAAAGCATCCTGATCTTGCCCGACAATAAACACACCTTTTCCATAGATACGATCGCCTGTAGCAATCGTTTTATTAAAATTATAGATATAACATCGATAACCATCCCTATACACTTGCAAATGTCCATTCGTGTTAAACCAAGATACGCAAAGATGGTACCACTCACCCACTGTCCATTCTATATTTGGGCATCGTATTTCCGTATACTCGGTTGCGATATTGACACCTACGCTGACGGTTCCAGTTTTATTCGAAAGGCACACAGCAAATTCATTGTCGGATCGAAGGGTCGCATAGGAAATAAATGTCGAAAATTCTCTTTGAATCGAATGCGGTTTGATCCAAGAACAAATCGTAAACTCATTTAGAGATGGAAACTGTTGATTGAGACGAAGACGTGGGTAGTTTCCGGAGCTGGAGCGAGGAATGTGTATCTTGAGTTGAGAATTCTCTACAAGTGCCAAAGAAAGAAGCACGCACAACACATGAAACCACATCTTGTTGTCTCTTCTAAATTGAAATACCTTGACGTTACATCCTTTTATAGTACTTGGAGTACGTGACGTAAGATAACATTAGCATTTCAGGTTATCGAGGTCAATGTGCAATGTACTTTGAATCATACTATTTTATTTACGTAATCGCAGTTTCAATTTTAAGAATCAGTTGCGTAATGTTAAAGTAATATTTATTTAATTATGTTTCTTTTGTTATTTTTTCCTTTCGGATACTTTATTTATGCGATTTGTGTGTATAAAAGTCTCTTCTTAATGGCAAAAATAGAAGTAAAAAGAAAAGTTAAAAAATACAGTACTATAATTATGAAGGCGTGTATAATAATAATAACAAGATATTCGGCATTGAAATTATTATTTGCCTTTATATCCATCGTAGATCTTTGGAGACTTAGAAAAAATGCATTTTGGGCTCACCCATCATGCATCTTAAGTATACTTTTTAAAAAATTGTATTTGGATAATAATACTTTTAATTTCAAATATTCACATTCATTCTCCACACACACAATAATTGTGATTAAAGACTGTAGCATTAATAGATAAAAATAGCCATAAAAAATAAAATATTAGCAATCAAATAAACTTTATTTGGGACTCCTTAGAATAGTGATTCTGTAGAAATGATTCTTTTTGCCTATGGTATAATGAATCTTTGAATTATTTTGATATAATAAATATAATTTATAGCAATTATCTAGAACCTGAAATTTTTTCTTAATATAGCACTGTGCATACAAATAACGCATGTATTAATTAATTAAAGACTTCAGTCTGTTACTCTAGGAAATTACAGTTCAAATACGAGTTAGGAACGTTAGAGATTGTTTATCGGAATGTGTCGGGCCCGTATTTCTCACTATATGGCCTCCCCTATTGTAGGTTCGGTCAAACTTGCAGGTCTTTGACATTGTGTAACACTTCGTGGAAGGGTTGAGTTATGGAATGAAAATGTTTCGTTCAAGAGTGCAATAAATAAATTTAGAAATGGTATTTATTAAACGATACAAAAATAATAAAAAATAGAAGTCATGTTTTATGAAATAGAAGATAATAAATTCTTTTTTTCTTAATTTAAGAAATGTATGTTGTTATCAACGAAAATATTTAACCCAACAAGATACTGATATCAAGATATATGATATGGCTTAGAATATTATCAAAAAGTTATAAATTGATTCCAAAAATTAATATAATCTGAAACGGCTTCATAGATTTCAACATTACGAGTAGAAAGATTTGGAAGGGTCTTGCGCTCGGTCTTTAACCTCATGTAATTGTATAGACAATATACGTAAACCCTGAAACCTGTATAAGCTTTATAAAATAAAGAGAATTATTTAAAATATTTCGGTAAAAATGTTCCAAACATTCACCAGAGAGAATAAAAATGCATACAAATCTACGTTTGTACAAACACCTTTTCAGACAAGAGCAATGATAAAGTACTAACTTTAAAATAAATTGTATGCGAATTAATAAAATAAATTTTCAAGAAAACTTATATATAATAATATAATTTTTCTAATTGTTCTCAACGTTTACATTAATATAGGCCTATTTAATATTCCCATCCTTTTATCTTCGGTGAAACATGTAATATGTCCCAACCGATATTTCATTTTCTGACGTGTCTATAATTCTTGCAATATTCGTTTAATTTCTGTAATTCTTTCATTTAATGATTGCTATTTCTAAAAACTAGATAGCTTTCACTGTTATATGAAATGTTTTTTTTATTACTTTCCTCAATAAATCCATTAAATAGTGTCAAGAACACTAAAAAACACGCTCTCTCCAACTTTAATACTTTACTATGAACGTTTAAATTATTCATTATAACTTATTTTAATTTATAGATACGGTATTTATATAATGTTAATATGCTTAGTTTACACTAATTTTCTTTTATTAAATATGATATTTTTATATTCACTGAATATAACATACATAAACTCAATTCCTTCTAAGCATATTTTAGTATTTTGGTATAATACAATGCGAGTTTCTTTGTAAATATAAATTTTTTTGCACTGACTAATGATCAAATTTATTTCTTTTTAAGAAAATCCACTTGTGAACTATAGAATAAATAATTTACAATGCTCTAAATATTGACAGGGTTATTAAATTAACTGAAAATATCTTTTCAAGCATCTTTCATAAATCATATAATATTCAATCAGCAGGAGATTAATGGTCCTCTGGTATCAAATTCTTCGAAATGAAAAGTTTACGTTTATACTCTTAATTTATTATAATAATTATTATGTATTTATATCAATATTTACTCCTAATTAATTAATCTAAAAATAACACTTAATAGTATAATACCTAACATTTAAATTGGGCCATTAATGCACAAGAAATTGAGTACCTTGAATAAGGAGCAATTACTTATTGTGACGATGTCCCAATACAAGAATGCAATTTTTAATCATATTTTAATTTAAAAAATCACATGATTTTCGAAAGTTTGTATACAGTTTATTGGGACCTCCGACTCTAAGCTTTCATATTTAATCTCGAATTTCATCTATCTAAATCAATTTTCGAGATTAAGGAAGAACGAACAGATAGACGGACAACAGTGGGAATATATAAATCTGCAATAAATTAATATGTATGTAGATTATGCATTGAAAGAAGTGTTATCACTTATATTTAATAATTTTAATAACTTTTATATTAATCTGCATTTATGTATACACTTATCAGACCTAAATAAAGGAGAGTTAGTCACCTATTTTATGGGCAGCCAATTTTAATATGTAAAAAAGTGAAATAAATTAAAGTTTATTTTATGAATAGTAAAAAAAATCATCTTTTATTTGTTTTAATAATTTTATTACAAAGTTTTATTGCTTCAAAGAGCGCTCTCATTAATGGCTAACTCTTACCTTCCCATCTATACTTATCATTATTCTTCAATAAATACGATCCGTATAATTAAAATTTTTTTTATAATTTAAACAATTTTTTAAGAAATTCTGATAAGAAATTTCAGTTCATCTTGCTAAAATTATATTTATAAACACTGCTTTCATGGCTTTAATTACTTAAACCTCTTATAAGTTATTAATGAGTAGTAAATATTATTCGTTAATTTATTTATCTTAAAACATCTACGAGTCGTAAATTACTACGTTATTATTATTATTATTATTATTTTAATATAAATTACAGCTTGGTTTTAAATTATTTTACCGAATATTTCTAAAAACTTTATTAAAATAAATATTTTGTTGATCTTTAACATTTAATATTTATTTTCTTATGATCGATCTGATTATTTTATATAAAAAGAAGTTATTATTTTATTCTATTTAATAAAAGAAATGAAAGGTTTTTTTAAATATTTTGACAATTTATTTCTTTATTTAATTACGTTGAGCGATTTAAATAACATTATAAATATTTATGTAAAGAATATAATTACATCTTAATGAATTCATTAAATACATTTTTAAACTATAATTATTCTGTCGAATATCTAATATAGATTTAGCATTACTTCCTTTTATGATTCGATATCCTTGAATGCTTGAAAATGAATATTTGTTTAGATAAGCAATCAACCAAAGCAAACAATTAAAACCTCGTTTATCTAAACGACATTCGAATCAGTGAAGTAAACAAGGCAACGACCAATCTTTTCTATCGACTTAAATAAAAATAATAATAATTAATTAATATTTAACAAAATACAGCTAAAATAATTTCTTACAATATAAAATTATATTTTAAATACTAAATATTCCAGAAAACATGCAAATAATAGAATTATTGTATTTCGAATATGCGTACAATACATTAATAAAAGGGATTAAATATTACTTATAAAAATTTGTAGTTAATTTTACGATAAATTTTATTTGATTTCACAGAAATAAAAATAATTTTTTTTAATATATCAAACTGTAATTCTACAGCTTGATATATTATATACACTGTTGTACCACACAAGAAATTTGTGTGGAGAGAATCTAATAACTTTCTAAATGAAATTATTATCACTTATACAGTCTCTGAACAACGACTATTGATGGAAACATTTTTAAAAAAATGGTCGTTGGGACCGTCCATTAATTACGTATAGCGTTTTTGAGCTATTTTTGATCCCCTTCTTCCTATTATGCACAATGACGTACTTTTGGCGAACCTCTCCCCTTTAATTACATATACAATAATCCATGACATTCAACTGACGTTTACTTACACGACAAGTAAATAGGCTTGTAAGAACAAATTTGTATGCTCCTAATACCACTAAAAAAGTCCACATAGACAATGTCTGGACTCCTCTCATTGTGTACAATAATGTACTTTTTGAGACCCCCTTTCCCTTAAACTGTACACATAATTAATGGATGGTACTTCTGAACAATAGCCTTAATTTATATATGAAAACCTTATTATTTAGGCTACAACGTATTAAAAGTGATAATTTATTTTATGCGGATAAATAGTTCTCCTTCAATTGCAATAAAATTTAAAAAAAATAATTTTTTAAAATACTAATTATGTCTCTATTTTACGTTCTTATTTTTATATTTTATTGCATAAATATTGCAAATCTTTAACTATTATACATGTAAGGGCATCTATTATACATGTAAGGGCATCCATGCTCTAGTGTGGCATCTACGATGCCACACTAGAGCATGGATGTACCAACAAAAAGTTCAGAACCATTCATCTAAATAGTCTATATACTATACATTATTAATAGTGTAAATTTACTTCGAAAAAGCATATTTGTTTAATAAATATTTGAATTTAAACTTCGTAAATTAAATAAAAAGTAAAATATCATGATTTACAAAGTTCAGTCTCAGAAAGAATCACGTCCAAAGCAGTCATTGAAGTTTTCATTCCGGAAATAATATTCCCCCGTTCTCTTTTTCCATCACATTTGTATGCTTCTCTGATCTGTCCATCTTTCAAAACTTCGTTCCACATATTAATATCAACAATATCTCCATGCCAGGCTTGATCCTCGACATATCCAGAATCTGAACCATGTTGCATTTGCCCAATAACAAATATTCCACCACCTTCTATATTTCCGGCAACATCATTACCAACATCATCGAGCTTACATCTGTTTCCATTAATAAATACTCTGATATATCCATTGGATCCAAACCAAGATGCGCAGAAATGATACCATCCTCCGGGATACCAATTGACTTGATGACATTGGAATGTGTTGAATACATCTAAAACTTCAATACCAATGTTCATTTTGCTGCTGTAATTGAAGAAACATCCACCTATTTCATGATCCAACCGATTTGTACTGTATGAAACGAAACAGGAATATTCCTTTTGAAAATGATAAGGTCTAAGCCACATACATAATGTAAATTCCTCCATATTTGGTAGAGTGCCATTCAACTTCAATCGTGGATAAAAATTCTCTGCAGAAAGTGGAATGTGTACTTTATAATGAGAACTTTCACACTGATGATAACAGAGGATGGCAAGAAAGCCGAGAAACAAAAACATGTTCATACTACTCAGAAAGAATGCCGAAAATAAATGAAAATGTGATTATTCATTCAACTTATCTTGTTCGGTTATAATATCAAAGGTCAATAATATTATCGTAAATTGATAAATTTACTATGGGTTTTTTTTTAATTTTATGTGTTTAATTCAAGATAAAGCAATTTATTTATAATTTTTCAAATCATTTATTCAAAAAATCCATTGATTTATTCTTCAATATAACTCGTAAAATTATAATTGTTAAACGTTATAATTAATGAAACGAATGTTACAAATTCAAAGCGTAATTTCAAATTAATATGTTGTAAAATGTGTCAAGGTTGAGTTCATAAACCTAAAGTCACATATTTATGTTATTGAATTTAGATTAAAATGATAACTCTACAATTTCTACATCTTGCCTTTTTAACGTATTAATCTAGAGTCATTGAAATCCAGATTCACACGTACTTATGCTGGGTTTAACCCACAATGGGGTTAGACACACTCGTAACAAATGTAGCACACATAGCTAAATGTGCTGATTCCCTCGTATCAATCGAAATTTTTATAGTAATTTTATAATACTCCGCTAGTCCATCAACTATTATACAGAAATTTATATAAAAATTATTGTTTACTATTTTTATTTTATTTATTTATTTCATCATACTTTTAAAATTGAGAAAATTATTACAGGATTCGCATCTGTATACAGTTTGTTAAGTTCTTGCACAGTATTAATTTTATAGAGAAATATGTAAAATTTTTTTCAAGAATATTATAACATATAAGCTAATCAGTTTGTAATGACATATTTGCCAGACATACAGATTTTGTAGGATTTCTTTGTTATACTAATTGTTAGTGTCCACTATCCTGACTTAGGCAATCGAAGTTGCTATTTAACTTCACACTTTAGACTCTTCTACGGAATCTATCATCATATAAAATACTTTTTGCTTCACTTGAAACGTCTATTTTTTGTAATTTTGTTCTGCTATGCTTGCACTATAAAGAAATTTTTATTCTACAACCGAAATTCTAGGCTTTCCGCTAGAACAATGTACAGACATTCAATATTTACCCCGAAACAAAAGTTACATCACGTCATAAATACGTAGTGAATGAAACTTACATTACATAGTCTCAAAATGAAATGGACAAGGTAACCATTTTGTTCTGAGACAATGTAATCAATTTAAAATACATTAAAATTTATATAAAAACAAATAACTATTTACTAGTTCAAAAGTTTTTCAATACTGTAATTATCTATAAAAGTAAATCCAAAGTACGCGTGTATATTACGTTATGAATTTGCATATGATAAATAGATACGATATCATGAATACTTAATTTATCATCAAAATGAACTCATATCGGTACCTTTACTGTTTGTTTAACTGGAATTTGAATCCTATATTTAAAGTGCATCATTAAACTTGCATTATGATAAAGCATAATCAGAGATGTCTGGAGTTAGCAATTTTTTAAAAGCATTTAACTTGTATCAGATTGTAATGTAAGACAAATATCGCCAAGAAAGGTGTTTTTCCATTCTCCTCTTAAGTTTGATCAGTCCATAATGGAAGCATCCGAATATTAAAAGATAAATCCAACATATAGATATGTCCATCGGATATGCCTATGAAAATTTCTGAGATTTTCAGAAATTTTTCATGGGCATATTCGAATGGGAATATTCCATTTTTTACACGAAGAATTGAGTCTTCAAAGTGGCATATTGAAATCTATTGTACATTAATGGCCATTCCGACATCAAATTTTAATTGAGTTGTAGATCTATTAAGTCAATTAATAAAATTTATATAAAAAGCAAATAACTATTTACTCGTTTAAAAGTTTTCAATACTGTAATTATCTATAAAAGTAAAATTAAAGTACTCGTGTTAAATAAAGATTAAGAAAGGAAATTTGGCATGGTAACTTGTATATTAAGGGCATTGATGCTAGTAAATTTTGGTGCTTAAAGGTCAAGACAGTAGGGAGATAGAAAGGATCATGTGTCATATCTCAAGTAGAGTCCAACTTAATTAAAATTCTATCCGTTATTAGCATTTACAATATTTTTAGAAACTCATCTCTATCGTCAAAATTAAGTTTCATACCTTTTTATATTAATTAATAATATAAAAGCTATTTGTAAAATTAATAAAATTTCATAACAGATGGTGCCACACATTTAACTTCCTGCTAATGTGTTTTAGTGTTTCTTAAACATAAATATCCTTTGCCAGGAAAGTTAGGCAACTCATTGCTGCAATGTTTTTTTAGTGGAGTGTGTATAAAAGTTATTTCAAATTAAGAAAATTTATACTAAAGAATTAATAAAATAATCTTTAAAAAGACCTATTGAAAGAGCATAATTCGGTAATTTCATGTACAGTACATTGATTCTGCAGAAGAAATTTGAGTTGATATCTACTTTAGAGAAGTTATATTAATAATATCTTTATATAATTTGGAAGTAATTTTCCGTTGTCAGATGTTTGCTCTGCAAGCGATTCACTTATTAGAGATATTTCATGCATTTCAGATTGCTTTAATGTAAAGCGTGCAACAATGCGTACGCAATGTGTCAATTAGGAATGCATATGCAATTTGTAAATTAGGTTATGCACATTGATGTAAATGGTAAAAACCATTTTGATTTAATGTTCATTGATCTAAAGACATGTTTAGTAGCCAGTAGATTTTATGATATAAGATAACCATTAAGGACCCAATTATCTCCTATTTAAGAATTAAACATGTGTGAATAAAACCTGAAAAATGCCACTTGGTTAGGCTGGAATCCGGAACCAAGTATGGGTATTCCGTAATTTTATCTACTCAGTCACAAGTAAGCTCATCATTATAAAAATTTAATTGTAGTTTTTTCAGTTATTTTTTAATTGAATTGTATATATATGCATATACATATCGAATTTTATTTTGTTCAAATTTATTTCACTATTTTCGTTTATGTACTTTATTTCACTAAAATTAACTATTTGAGCATTACAACTTCTCTCCACGTATAAACTTCCACTGTACAAACACTTCTGGTCTTAATTATTTTAAAACATATTCACTTTGTAAAATTAAAATTATTTTCATGAAAACATAAAATCTGTTGTCAACAGTAACTACTTAAATACAGTATAATATCTTATTAATTAATAAGTCGATAAAGTCTCTATAAATAATTTAATATATTTCAACGGTGTTTGAGTGACTGAGGCCTTTTTTTTTAGATATAAAGATTGTCTATACCTAATCTGCGATTCTCGATAATTTACAGGAAATTCTCATTTGTTCAAAATTCAAGGGACGAAATAATCGCGACTTCGAATTATCGAGTTTCGAATTATCCAAGATTTACATATTTCTGTATAATAAGCCAAATAGCACGTAACTGATGTAATTTATTAAGAAAACGGAATACGGCTACGTATACAGAATGCTTTTTTTCGTTAATTAATAATTAATAATAATAATATAAATAAACTGCGGGTAAGCAGCACGTGTTCGACGATAACCTTATAGGCACCAAGGTCTATATAAGGTCAGGACACGATTCCGTGATTCTTTGCGGCAGCGGCCATTTTGAGACTGATCGATAGAGTTCACTCCACACGTGGTTCCAGCGTGAGACGACTATGTTATGTATATAAGTACTCAGAACGTTAAAGAATGGGTTATTGTGTGGTACCAAATTGTAAGAGTAAATCTACAGATGTTCTATTATTTAGATTTCCTGCAGATAAGCGGAGGAAAGCAAAATGGGTGCAGAACTGCAGACGGAATAAGTGGCAGCCAACTGAACATTGTAAACTGTGCTAAACTGTGTGAGGTTAGTGTATATCATGTATTTTTCTATAGATACTGTCTTTGAGATGTATACGTGATCTTACATTAAATTATTTGTTGTTCAGCTTCATTTCGAAGAATCTCAATTTGAACTGAGAAGAGCTGACGGAAGGAAGCTGCTAAAACGGAATGCTATTCTCACAATTTTCAATGTGCCCAATCCTCCTAAATCTATTACAAGCAAAAAGAAAGCCTATTAGAGAAAGAAAACTTCCTGAAGAAAGAACAACCAATGGTAAGATTATTTAATTGCTGAACTAGTTCTTTTTTCATCTGAAATAAAGATTACTGTTTTGTTTAAGTATTCTCAGTGTTATATAAATTGGCTGTTATTGAAAATCTTGTGTGTTCAATGCTGCCTACTTTTGCGAGAAATGTTATATTGTACGAAAAAATAATTATTTTAACATATTTTGAATTATAATGTATTTATATAGCTCTAGTAAAGTCTTTCTTGACAGAAAAAACAATTAAAGAAAGTGATGATACTACTTTAGATAAATTAAACAAAAAACAACTTCAGTCAGTAAACAGGAGACTACAACTACAAATGCTTTATTTACATTTAAAACAATTTTAGATCCACATTTATTTTGTAATGTCAATCATGGAGTGATGTCTTATATTATGAATCTGAATTCTGATGTTTGAGTAGAAAACTGACTATACTTTTATGTAATGAAAACAATAAAGAAATCATATATCCTTAAGCTTCTCAGAAAACATTAAATAATGTTTTAATTACGACAGCAAATGTTATGGACGATTGTTTCTTTTAAACTATTTGATCAAAAAGTTACATAAAATTGGGTTTGTATAACCATCCGAAATTATTATGATATTTTTGACTGGAAATCACTGGATTTATGCAATTTTAGTTTAATTAATGTCGTATAAAACTGATTGCTCATACAAGTTTCTTTAAAACATGCGACTCAATAAGGCCCAAAATGGCGGCTCTTCCGCGTGTCCCGACCTATGTATATAGACCTTGATAGGTACATATAACACGTGGCGCCATCTGTTATTTAAATTTAAATGTTTGAAAAATAAAATATAAATTAATACTGGTATTTTTATTTTTATTTATTAAGAAAAGATTATATTTCAACAATAACTTTCGTAACTTTAAATGTGAATTAAT